TTTGAAAAGTGAAAGTAATTTTTCCTTGTTGGTCCTGTTTTTAAAAGATGGATACAAATAGAAATTGTCTCCTCTAGAGGGAGCTTGTTAATTTGTTGCCGGAGCTGATCTGGGGACCTCACAGCTGTATGATTAGGATCGTGAGACCAGACTCTAACCTTGGGGGGGAAAATGTGTTTACAAGAAGTCTTGGTGCTTGCTTTTTGCAAGACAAGTGCTTTGCTGGAGCAGATGCATGAGAAGATGGATTTGATGACTGTTGCAGTTAAAAACTTTGGACAAACGATGAATACCCATATAGAAACCATTCAGGAACCAGCCCAGGAATCTGTTTTGATAGGGCAAGCGCAAGGGCAGAAGAAAATGGAGGAGGTTGTTGTTGAACCTCAAATAACACAAATGGAGAGACCCGAGGCCTTGCAGGAGTATAAGCCGTTGTTCTTGAAGCTCGAATCTGGAGTGGACCGGGGGGGTTTGGAGTTGTGAGGGCTCTTAACTTTGGAAAGACTTTGAAACATGCTTTTAACTACTTTCTGGATTAGAGTGTTGACTGTGGGGAATCGGACTGTGGGGAATGGGCTGATCTGCTGAGGAGAGATGGAGATACTTTTGGATTGGAGTCCTCCCGAGACCTACCCCCCAATGAGAAAGGAAAGAAAATAAGAAAAAGATCAACAAAAGATAAAGTAAAGGGCAGGTATAAACAAGAAGAAGACCTGCAGAAGGGACATGGAAAAGATTTAAGAGCCTCAGACATAAGGGCACCAGGTTGATGGATTAGATAGATGAGAAAGGACTGACAAAACCCGAGACCAGGAAGAAGAGACGAGGGATGAAGATTGGAAGAAAGTTTCAAAATTTATTTAGAAAAGTATTGTAAAATTAATGAGTATTAGAAAAATGTTGGAATGAAATTATTTGGCTTCAGCAGAAATGTCAAAAAGAATTATGAAAGAATATGTTATGGTTAAAAAAGTTTGGTATATATAAGTTTTAAGTTTTAGGGTTTTTTTAGGTAAGATAAGGTTAAAATAGATTAAGGTAATTTAAATGACAGAATATTGTGAAAGATGGAAAGGATTTGCTGAGATAATTAACAACTAGAATACAAAAAAGGGAGGTGTGAGGAGGTCGTTGAAATAAGTTAATGAAAGTTAAGGATTTGGGAATATTAGATTTGTTTTTTAATTGTTTGTTTATTTTTGTTTTTTGATTTCGATGTATTGTGTGTTTTGTTACTTTTTTTTTGACTTTGGTTTTTATTGATCTATATTGTTTAATTGTTATGTTTATCTACTTCTTTCTTTCTTTTTCTTCTTCTCTTGTTTTTTCTTTCTTTTTTCTTTGTAATTTTAAAATTCTTAATAAACATCATTTAAAAAAAAACACACAAGAGTATACTAAAAACACAAGAAAACATCAAACATTAAAAACTTCCCTAAACAGGGCTGCCTTCAGATGTCTTCTAAAACTCAGATAGTTGTTTATTTCTTTGACATCTTATGGCAGGGCGTTCCACAGGGTGGGTGCCACCACCAAGAAGGCCCTCTGCCTGGTTCCCTATAATCCCACTTTTTGCAGTGAGGGTACCTCCAGAAGGCCCTCAGTTTGTGGATCTAAGTACGCTAATAATAGGCCAAAACCAGCTCTTTGAATTGGTCCTGCAAACAAATTGTCAATCAGTGCAGTCAGGCCAGGATCGGTGTAATATTCTCAAACTGCCTTGCTCCGGTGAGCAACCTGCCCGCTGAATTCTGCACTAGCTGAAGTTTCCAAACCATCTTCAGAGGCATCCTGACATATTTTTCATACATAACCACCCTTATGGGGGCAAGAAGACCTTTAACAGGATCCGCCAGTGAGACTGACAACACACACCTGCTCTTTGCAAGAACGCAACAGACCAGCAACAAGGCGAGCCATAGAACGCTAGGGAAGAACAAAGCATCTGGAACAGCACCACCTAGTGGCACATGCTGGGTGCTCCCTCACTTGTTATGTATTCAGCAAGGCAAAAACAGAACCTCTCACTGCCCCCACCCCAGCACCAAAAACAATTCAAAACCTGGATGCCAGTAGTGAATGTCATTAGGGTGTTCAGTGGAGAATAGTTGTGCACTCTGTACCTGCTGCAATTCTCTGTTCCACTCATCTATTAAAGGTACAGGAGCACTGGCCTCTAAACTAGCTATTCTAAATGTTGTGCTGTCACTGACCCTCCACCAGTGTCACTCCTGGCCCCCTTTGACTGCATTTGTTCCCCCTTTTGGTCTATGAACCACAATAAAGCACTGTGTGTGTGTGTGTGTGTGTGTGTGTGTGTGTGTGCGCACATTGTTAGGACAGCTCCCCTAATTTCCATTCAGGTTTCATCTTGGCTATTATTTACATAAAGTTACATAGAACTTGGCCTGAAAATACAGTCCTCCAGAATTTTTTCCAGGAGTTCAGTGTTGCTTTATATGATGTACCGTCTTAGTACAGGGGTAGGCAACCTAAGGCCCGGGGCCCGGATGCAGACCAATCAGCTTCTCAATCCGGCCCTCGGACGGTCCAGGAATCAACGTGTTTTTACATGGGTAGAATTCCTGGAGAACAGGCGAAGTCCCGGCAGACTGGAGGAGGGCAAATGTTGTCCCTATTTTCAAAAAGGGGGAAAGAGAGGACCCAAATAATTACCGCCCAGTCAGTCTGACATCAATACCAGGGAAGATTCTGGAGCAGATCATTAAGCAAACAGTCTGTGAGCACCTAGAAAGGAATGCCGTGATCACCAATAGTCAGCATGGATTTCTGAAAAATAAGTCATGTCAGACTAACCTGATCTCGTTTTTTGACAGAATTACAAGCCTGGTAGATGAAGGGAACGCAGTGGATGTAGCCAACCTTGATTTCAGCAAGGCATTTGACAAGGTGCCCCATGATATTCTTGTAAAGAAGCTGGTAAAATGCGGTCTTGACTATGCTACCACTCAGTGGATTTGTAACTGGCTGACTGACCGAAACCAAAGGGTGCTCATCAATGGTTCCTCTTCATCCTGGAGAAGAGTGACTAGTGGGGTGCCACAGGGTTCTGTCTTGGGCCCGGTCTTATTCAACATCTTTATCAACAACTTGGATGATGGACTCAAGGGCATCCTGATCAAATTTGCAGATGACACCAAACTGGGAGGGGTGGCTAACACCCCAGAGGACAGGATCACACTTCAAAACGACCTTGACAGATTAGAGAACTGGGCCAAAACAAACAAGATGAATTTTAACAGGGAGAAATGTAAAGTATTGCACTTGGGCAAAAAAATGAGAGGCACAAATACAAGATGGGGGACACCTGGCTTGAGAGCAGTACATGTGAAAAGGATCTAGGAGTCTTGGTTGACCACAAACTTGACATGAGCCAACAGTGTGACGTGGCAGCTAAAAAAGCCAATGCAATTCTGGGCTGCATCAATAGGAGTATAGCATCTAGATCAAGGGAAGTAATAGTGCCACTGTATTCTGCTCTGGTCAGACCTCACCTGGAGTACTGTGTCCAGTTCTGGGCACCACAGTTCAAGAAGGACACTGACAAACTGGAACGTGTCCAGAGGAGGGCAACCAAAATGGTCAAAGGCCTGGAAACGATGCCTTATGAGGAACGGCTAAGGGAGCTGGGCATGTTTAGCCTGGAGAAGAGGAGGTTAAGGGGTGATATGATAGCCATGTTCAAATATATAAAAGGATGTCACATAGAGGAGGGAGAAAGGTTGTTTTCTGCTGCTCCAGAGAAGCGGACACGGAGCAATGGATCCAAACTACAAGAAAGAAGATTCCACCTAAACATTAGGAAGAACTTCCTGACAGTAAGAGCTGTTCGACAGTGGAATTTGCTGCCAAGGAGTGTGGTGGAGTCTCCTTCTTTAAGCAGAGGCTTAAAGCAGAGGTCTTTAAGCAGAGGCTTGACAACCATATGTCAGGAGTGCTCTGATGGTGTTTCATGCTTGGCAGGGGGTTGGACTCGATGGCCCTTGTGGTCTCTTCCAACTCTATGATTCTATGATTCTATGAGATCAAAAGAAATTCTTTTAACTACAAAGACTACTCTGAGTATGCATACATAATCTGAGAGTAAATAAAAGAGGACTAGAGAAACTCCGGAGATCACAAACAGGAGTAAACAGGAGAGGATGGAAGGATGGCAAGGATATAGGCATCTTTATCACCTTCCTGTGAAACTATTTCCAGGCCCTAAGATAAACATCCTGAGATTTACATATTGGAAAAGCTACTTCAAAGAAGCTGCCCACTATCTTTGATGACTCAGATGCCTGCCTGCAGTAGTTACTTGTCAAGAAAGAGAAATGGAACAGGGATGCAGAGGTGTGGCTTGATCAAGAATCATATCAAAATAGTTTAAACCCAGTCAACACAATGCTTTCATTGCTGACACAGATGGCTTACTCTATATTTGTTATAATTCCTCATAGCAATCCCACCTGATCACTACAGGAAACCTCAGGACAAACAAAATAATTGTGCTGCTTCACACAGCACAGAATGGCTGGTGGTTGCAGCTGGCCCCAAGACTTTATGAGCTCAACAGCATGCAATCAAGGAATGAATGAATTATCCTACATACCCCTAGAATAAAAAAAAAAAGTAGGTTTTCACACCACAGTTTGAATTCCTATGATTTCTTTTTGTAGAAAGATGTGTTAAATTTTGCACTCATTATCTACTTTCAAAATCTTTCACAAAAGCAGCTATGGTACCCAGTCACATCAAACATCTGTTGCTGATGTGTATGTCTCCCCAGTCATTTCACACCAGGCCCAACTTTGAAGTTGGTTCTTCCATCAATTTCAAAACAGCATACATTCACATTTGCAGGCTACTTATTTATTTATTTATTTATTTATTTATTTATTGATATACATACAACTCTTCAACCATAGAAGGACTTCATGGTGACAATTTACAACAAAATTACATAAATTAATAATATAATACAATAAGACAATAGCAGCGACATTAAAAGAGCAACAGAGATGGTGTCATTGGTTGCCAAAAGTATACTTTTTAAAAATTTTTTGCACCTGAAAGAATTTTTTGTTTTAAATAAGAGTATAGGAGGGAGTTTTAATCAGGGTTGCCTCATGGAGAAGGCCTGCCTCTGTCTGGTTGTTGCCACCATCTAACCTCTGAAGGCAAGTCCACCCAGAATAGGGTCTCATCCAATTATCTTCATGAACAGACAACTTCATATGCTAAGCTGAACTATATTATCATGAGAAGCAATAACTTTAGTTTGGGAGAAATGGAAAATGGCTTTGCTTGCTCAAGAAGCCTGCTTAGGACTTAATGAAAAGATTTCTGATAACCACAGAAAATTGGATCTTGCTTAATCATTGTTCCCTTTATTATGAAACTTGAATGACTGAGTGCTTATCAGTTTGGAAGCTAAATGTGGCCACCCCCAAAATAAGAAAGCGTTTGATTTGTGCCATGAGTTGTGTCATTGTATAATTTGTCCCATTATTTGGAGGCAAAACCTCTGGGTTTACACTGTCTCCCCAAAACAGCAGCTGTCTTTAGTGCTTCGTGTCTTTGTTTCAAAGGAGCAGGGTGCTGCTCCAGATCAACAAAAGCTATGGCACAATCCTGGATTTCTCCATTGAGGAGGAAAAACTAGAAAGGGAGGGCAGGGGAAAGAAGAGATTGGCCTCAGAGCTGGAAAGCCAACCAGGCGAGATGAGCGCCGCAACCCCAGAGTCGTTTGCGACTGGACCTAACAGTTAGGGGGTCCCTTTACCTTTACCTGGTGCTACTGCCTCACTCTGCCTGAAAGTTGGGCTGGCTCTAGGTCAACTCAGTAAATGCAAACCATGCTTTTGTTTGAGCAATCTGTGGAGTTCATTCAGTGGAACGAAGAAGATTCAATCTGGATGTTCAAATCTGGCAGGAGCCTGAGACATTTAAAGGACTGTGCAAAGTCTACTAAAGGAAAGGATCAGGGTGTAAGGACTCAGAATGGTTGGGAGGCTGCTTGTCCTAATATACCTTTGAAATTGTTGTTGCAGGTGGAAATACAGAGGAAGCAAAGCACCGTTTCCCTTTCCCTATCTCTTCATAAGGTCTCAAAGTAGAACGAAGGCTCTTTTTCATTTTTCATTCCCCTACAAACAGAAAGGGGCAAGACAGCAGAGAAGCCACCCTTCTCTCTCTCTCACTCAAGTTCAGCTGCAGCCCCACCTCAAATTCCTAAAGCTTCGGAGATCAGCAGCTTAAGGTGTGTGCGCCAGGGAAGAGGAAAAACAGGAGATCACAGTTCATCCCGAGGCGATTCGTCCCCAAAGTCCTCTCACTCCTTAGGCGTGGATATAAGCATCCAGCCAGTGTTCCCCAGACTCCTTCAGCGTGCTGCAGAGGAAAAGAGAAAAGGGCTGTCAGTAATCCTCAGCTTAGTTTCAGCTTAGTGCTTGTCTTTCTTCCTTGCGCTGTTAATTTCACTTTTAATGTGCACACCACCTCCCTGTATTACCGTAGCTGAGATTAGCTGAGATTCCTGCATTGCAGGGGGTTGGACTAGATGGCCTTGGGGTGCCTTCCAACCCTACAATTCTATGATTCTATACACAAGGCAGTGTAGAGAAACAAAAGGGGGTGCGAAGAAGCAACAAAGACTGCACACCTTATAACACAATCTGATCCAATACAAAAATGTCATAATAAAAACATAAAGCATAAGCAACTTAAGCCAAATAAAGTGATATTCAATATTCCATTAGAATATAATAGCACACAATAAAATTAAATATCAGCAAATAATTATTGAACAGAAATTCACTCTCAGCAATTACAATAAACAATACCATAGTTTTCCGTCTATAAGAAATATATATTCCTTATGTACCCATGTATAAGACGCCCCCTATTTTTGGGAATTCCAAATTAAGAAAACGTCCCTCAGCACTACCCGTGTATAAGACGAGCCCCAATTTTAAGCCTAATTTTTTAGTAAAAAAAACCTAGTCTTACACAGGGAAAAATACGGTATTTAAACTATAATCAATAAAAATAACAGCAGACCGTAGCACGTATAACAACACAATACATATTGAGAATCAATTTACACAACTTAAAAGCAATTTACACAACTTCTCTCTTCCCAGCTGGTTCTGTTGTTCCTAAAGTCAGGGTTTCGAAAAGGCTGCTAGAGCTGGAGGATGGGGGGGGGGTACAAGGCAGGTGGGGAAAAGCCATTAATTGAACTTACTGCAATATATCTGCAAAAGCCGTGAGCAGGGGCTTGCATTGGTACTTTATGCCATGCTTAGCACAGAGGGATTTCACCAGAGGTGCGACCTTCCAATAATTGTGGCGAGGCATTGTTGGGAAAAGGCTGTGGAAAGAGAGCAAGAAAATGGTTTCACATGGGGAACCAGTGTGGTGTAGAAGTTAAAATGCCGCACTAAGACTTGGGATACCAGGGTTCAAATCCCCACTCAGCCATGCACCTCACTGGGGGAGGTGACTTGAGTCAGTCTCAGGCTCTCAGCCTAACCTACCTCACCACCTTGAGCTCCTTGGATGAAAAGTGGGGTGGAAATATAAACAATAAACCAGTGGCAGAGCCTTCAGTTAGCCAAAGCCATCCCACCTCTGTTGAAGTTCCCTAACCCTTTCCCACCCAATATGAGTATGGGCTGTCATTTACATGAAGGCCTTTTCCAGACACATTCACACTGTGCCAGCGTCTCTCTTCCATATGTCACATACTCACTGATGCTCAATCTGGAAGTTCAGGTGCCCCGTGTACCAGTCATTGAACAGGGATTGATCCACATCACACGTCGCTGCGAGCTAAGTGAGAACGAGAAAGGAGACAGACCGTTAAACGGCCCGGCAAAGGGGAACAGCTGCCTCCAGAACCAACCCCACCAAAATGTGACCATGGCAACTGGGCCATTTGAACAACTCTCTCTTCGACGGAAATGTAACCTTGCCCTTTCTAAGGAGGCCATGCACTTGAAAGCGCAAATGGATGGCCAAACCTATCAGATGAAAGAAAGTCATTGTCTCTGGGAGGAAGAAGTACATATTAACTCACCTGAGCAGACACCCAGTCCAAATTCTTATCATAATCGATATTCATGGGAATGTGGTTCATCTGTGAGACCCAGAGAAACCATGTGCTTTCTAGGAACCTGGGTAGATCAACACAACAACAACAACAACAACAATCACCATTCTGTCAGAGATTGGCCAATACCACCTCATACAGAATGAAAAGGGCTAATTCTTTCAAAGCAAGTTTTTTCTACACCCTCCTTCCGCTTACAAGGCCCTATTCCCTTTCTGCTCCTGTAGGAGTGATGAGAGTAAGGGAATAAGAGGAGCAAATGCTCCATGGGCCTTCCTTAGGCCCAGCAGACTTACTTATGGGAATTTTCCAGTGCAGATATCTCTGGGATTTGTAGTTTTACCAAGGCCTCACAAACAGCCTGGAAGACCTGGGAAACTATGGGATCTTTGCCTTGGAGATGTCTGCTATTGTTTGTATTTCATCGAATTGGCACTGCTAACTCCAGAGGAGTCTATTAATAGTTAGGCAGCCTCTTATGTCAGTGAATGAGCCTTTTTGCCACATAAGAACATTGCATGGATACTGAAGTTTCAATTTTTTAAAAAAAAACCCCACACATACCAGGTGATAAATATAATGCTGGAAACATATAGGGTGAGATCTCTTAACAAATGTAACAAATTTGTGCAAGGACTTCTGCTTGCACAGCAGCACTTATGCCCCCCCAACATTAGCTGGGGGGGGGGGGAATCAGAGGTAGGCCCAGAGCAGCATGTGGGGGGAGGGGAGGGGGATTGTTCCATCTCACAAGGTGATGTACTTTGTGCAGACAAAATGTCTGTAATCGCATGGTGCTAAATTCCACCCATTTCTATATTTCCACTATCTGAATGCAGAGTAGGGGGCAGAGGAATAGTCTCTCTTGGGACTGACGGACACTTTCTTGGACTGCTTCGCTAGGCCAGGCCAGGGGAGATCATCTGCATGACGGATCTGTTCACGCTGGTGGGAGAATTTGAGATGCAAAGGAAGCACTTTGTACATGCACAGATGCCCCCGCCCACCCCATCCATGAGCGTTTTGCATACAGATTATTTACCTGGCCAGCCAGTAGAATGCCATGAAGGTCTTAAATCCCATTAAAGGAACAAACATGAGACAAACGCGGATGTTGTAGAACACAATGAAAGAAAACTCCTGCCAAAGAAAACTGGGTTAAGGCAATAAAAAAGATTGAAAACCGTATGGTGCAATTACGATGGCTTCAAAGGCCATGATGCCAAGTGACTCAGAGCAATGTTTGCATGTATGGAAACACCCTGGGAACTGCATCATGTTAAGAAGAACTCCCTCCATGGTATGGAAGGGGATCAGTGCAGATGGGACACATGTTTCTGCACCGGAGTAGATATTATGAAAGGCCGTACAAATAACAAATCAAAGGAATGAACAAATGAAAATCTCATGGACATTGGTCTTCTTGATTACTGTAGATCTATTCCGCCCTCCCCAAACTGGCATTGGCTCCAACATACACAGGCCAAGTGGATTTGTTTACTCTGCTTATTCACTAAAGTAAACTCATCCTTCATGTGACACAGGAATAAAATAATGATTTCTGTAATGCAACTCTGGTGGCTAGCTGCAGGCAGTGCGGACACAGGACACATCTGCATTCCACCATTACGTTATTATCCATAGGGGAAACAGTGCAGTTACAAGTTCACAGATGACTCACCATCCATTTTTTCCTCTGAATTGCGAAGCGTATTATAATCAGCTGCACAAATACAACGAAAGTCATCGGGGCTAAGACTATGGAGAAAAAGGAAAGCAAACATAAAACAAAGAGGAGTATTTTCCTTCAGTTGTAATAACCAAGCTTTCCAAGCCCGTAAGTATTTCTGGGTATTTTTCATCTCCCAGGTATTTCTGGAGCAATCATACTGAGCTAAATTTAAGTTGGAGGGGGTGTCCGTTCAAGATCCCTTGCAGCCCTGTGACTCTGGAGCTGTTTGATTTGCATTTGTAGAAATGGACAATTTTTTTTTTTTTAATGAAAATGGTCAAGCTTGGCATAATTAAAGAGCTGGCCTAGTGCCAGTGATTTGTTGCCATAGGAGCTCAAGGGTATTTGACTTTCATCCCTCCTGCCCTGGCTGGAGGTGAAGTCAGGAAAGTGTGTATCTGAGAAAGAGAACCAAAACAAAAACCTCAAGAGTTTTGAAACTGAAGCTGAAAAGAGATGGAGCAGCTCGCCTTGCTTTGTGGAATTGGTGTCCCCCCTTCTAATCTACTGCTGGAGTTTTGATGCTGTTAAATTTCTTTCTTATGCTCAGCCTGTATAAATGTGTGGGGAAATGCTACTCATCTCCAGGGATCTTCATTCTGCAGAAACAAACCCTAAGCTGGGAGTCTGAAGTCTCTCACTGCTCAGAGATTGGGGTTTGTGTAACACTAGTAAAGATAACATTTCTTCTATCTATTCATTTGCCTATAGCATATTTTTTTTCAGAACCTCCAGCCTCTGATCTAACAAGCTTCGGTCCTAATCCCCAAAGAGACACAGCCTTGCTGATGGTAGCAAACAACTGAGAGAGACTCACGGATGAAGTATTTGTGCTGGTGCTGGTAAGGCATGTATTTCTTCTTCTTCTTCCCAAGCTGCGAATGGAGAGCAGAAGTAATGCGTTTAAACATAGGTAACAACTTTGCTGACCTTTTGTCACTGCACAGATTTTTCTTAGAGAATTTGATTCAGGAAAGAAGCCTACGATATATGTTTGCAACATGAAATCGGCTTCCATGGCCATGTTTGCACGTAAGGCGAAACCAAACCATGGCTTTAACCTACTGCGCCTGTTATTCATGGTGTGCATTCCCCTGTCTACTCACCTCCTCAGAGAGCGGCTTCCCCAGGCTGAACAGGAGTGGATGCATGTTGAGATCTGGGTCCTTGCGGAAGCAGTTGGGTTTGGCATGATGCTGGTTATGCATATGGTTCCACCAGCTGGGGGGCCCTCCCTGCAAACAGAATAAAAAGAAAATTCCACCAATTTTTCATTATTCATGTTGGTGGTGTTGGAGCAACTACGTTATGTGCTTATTCCTGACACACAGATTGGGGAAAAAAAAATTGTCCAAAATGACAACGATGAGAAAACAGAGAATGACAACTTCGGCCTCCTAGGGCACTCAGATGCATAGCTGTCAACTTTTCCCTTTTCTTGCAAGGAATCCTTTTTGGAATAAGGGAATTTCTCTTAAAAAAAGGGAAACGTTGACAGCTATACTCTGATGTTGACCTGAGAGTCACAGTCATTTAACAAAGTATTCGACGAGAGTATCAAGAGTGAAGTTATTGAACTAGAATTTATCAGGAAGTTTGATTCTATTCCTGTTTAGCTTCTATGAGTTCTAAGCAGGAGAAACCCCACTCTCGATACTGGGCTCTTACTTTAAGTATTCCTGCCACAATGTGGTGAGCCAGTCTATTCCACTTGGGCTTCTGAAAGACGGAAACATGCCCAAGATCATGCTGAAGAAAGCCATACTGGATCTGGAAAGCAAAAAAGCAATATCAATACATGTTGATAGGCTATTTTCCACAGATGGGTTAGTAGGAACAAATGGCTCACTCTTTCACTAAGACTTGGGAAAAGCAACAGCAGCTATCCTACGCACTCTGCCCCTGTTTAGTTCCCCACACATTTGCAACGGAAATTGGCAGGAAGCCTGGGCACTTTCATCAGGAGAACTGGTTCCCATGAAGTTAGTACTATAGAAAAGGGCACCAGGCCTTCCTGCATGGGTATATAGCCTCACTTCCCACGGTGGCATAATAAAAAGGCTTGCCTCATGAATATTGCTTATAAAAGTTCAGACACAACAGAACAATGAAATGGAAGATTTTAAGTATTACAGTAGCATTGTGGAAGCCACAGTCAATGGATTCATCCCACAGGGTGGTGTAACTTTTAAAGGCCCACAACTATGTAAACAAGGCCAGTCACACAGATCTTCACCTTGAAATCATCACCTCCCATACTAGCCAGGCATAATATTTATGATAAGGACCCATTCCATTGCAAATGGCTCTACCAAATGGCCACTGGCCTTTCAAGGTCAACAGCTGTGTGTGTGTGTGTGTGTGTGTGTGTGTGTGTGTGTGAATTCCTAGAAAAGCAACTCACACAGCACTACCATAACATCAAAGGGTGCCAGCATATCTTTCCAATGAAGCAACTTTTTGCTATTTCTCTGTTAACAACTGACTTTTTTTGCCTCAAAATGAAGAAGAAAATGCTGGATTGACATCTTTATCAATCTACTGTGACTCCAAGGTCTCCTTCCTAGACAGTCAGTTCCACCAGTTCAGACCTCATGAACATGCATGTGAAATTAAGAATTTTATTTTATTTTTGCCTTGACATGCATCACTTCATACTTGTTTACACACATTGAGACCACATGCATTTTGACTACAAAGCTGTGCCTGTCTAGCTGGCCTTTTGCACGGAACCAGCAGCATTGCAGAGAAAACTACCTTGGAGCTGCTGGCATTCAGAGTGCTACCAAACAACCCTAATTTTGCTTCTGGGACCTCACAACTACATTTCCCCATGCCATTTGTGCCAATGTGCACCGCAACCTCTGCATCACTATCTACTACTACTGTCTACTATGCTATGCTATCTAGGTGACAGGTGATATCCACAACCTTCACATCAGACAAGCAATAAATCCTACGGCCTACACACCGATCACACACCCAGTTGTCAAATTGCCCACTACTAGGATCACTCCAGCTCTGGAGAAGTTCTCTCAGGACAGGTTTTCTTTAGATCAAGGAAATGTCAGGCAGCATAGTGCGTCCTGGCTTCCAGGCCCTGTTGCCGAACTTGCCTGGCTGTTTAACTTGCTTTGACACTTGTCCGCTGGTGCTCCTTGCAGCTTGTGGAGCTAGCTCCTTTTGCTAAGTTGCTCTAAATCAGTGTTTCCCAGACTTGGGTCTCCAGCTGTTTTTTGGGACTACAGTTCCCATCAGCGCTGAACACTGGTCTTGCTAGCTAGGGGTGATGGGAGTTGTAAATCCATAAACAGCTGGAGACCCAAGTTTGCTGGAGACCCAAGTTTGGGAAACCCCACTCTAAATTTATATGCCTGGCTAGTTCCTCCCAGCTGCTGTTGCAGTCAGTAAGGTCAGGTGTATGGCTGAAATTCATGAAAGTAGGGCTTTGAAAAAGGGAGTAGTAGTCTGGAACAGTGAATGTTGATTGACTGGACAATGGGCAATAAGATGACTGCAAATTAACTCCTTTGGGAAATTTTCTTATTTTAAAACTTTTAATAAAAAATAAGTAGCTTTTGCCTGTTGCTGAGCAGAGCACGCTTTTAAAAGTGCAAGTTTAGCTGTAGTTTTAAGTGGTACCTTGAACTCCCACTTTGACAAACTAGACCAATTTTCAGCTGGTAACATTAAATTTGTGTGTTCAGGTTCCCAGGTTTGATGCCTGATAACTCATTTAGTAGGGATGTGAAAGTCACGGTAGGCAGTATTTAGCTAATCACCATGATATGCCTGAAATTCCACAAGCTATGCCAAATGCTTAGGGGGGTGAGGATATGACAAAGCACTAAGGTAACCGGTCCAGAATAGTCCAGACTGAATCCTGCTGCATCCAGTAATGCAGACACATTTACCTGTGCAATGGTGAACAATGCTACACCAATGAGGAAAGGGGCCCAGGTTTTTCCAAAGTACCAGATGACGAGCCAGGATGCAATGTCTATCAGGAAAGCATGCAGGAACATGAAGGCAAAGAAGGGATAACTGGCCTTCAGGAGTCCAGATCTCTTCACTGTGCTATGCAGCTCACGAAAATCTTGTATCAGCATATCCTGTGAGAAATGACCATGGTTAAGTTCCCCCTTCATAAAGTACATGCATCTGATTCAAACTGTAGCATTACTACGCTTTCTCTAGACAGATCATGATGGTAACAGAGAGGCCAAGCCAGCTGGTCAGCTCTCCTTCAACAGGGGGCGGGATGAGACAGGACTCTAAGATAAGAGGGGCATGATGATTTCAGGGCATTGTCTAACCAGAGGCAGTGGAAAACCACTCTCTGCTCTGTCTCTCCACAGTAACTTCAAAGAGTGTAATGAGTGGGTTTTCTGTAAGAGTTGAGGTTTTTGTACCCAGATGCCTCCTGTGCTGTTGTTGGAATCTGTCTATCTCGAAAGACAATGGAATGCCCAGATGTCAAGACCCTGACTTCTCAGCCTCACTGATGCGGTCCAAAGGAAAGCAGAACAACACACTTGGCACCAGCTTGATTGCTGGAGTTGCCAGAATGAGGCATCTAAGACACCATCCAACTATCTTAGGGACTCCATTCTGGATCTGTTTAGAATTTACTCCTTAGCCTTTCCTTCTAACAAATATATCCCGCAAGGCAGCAGAGGTTTAGGGCCAGAATTTCCCTTCTCTGCCTTCTTGACCATTAGAGCCACTTGGCATGCTAGTTCAATGTAAATCCTACAAGGAAGCAGGGCAAGCTCACTAGGCTCCAACTCTGTTTTGCTATCCTCATCTCTTTCCATGAGGATGAAATCCAAAGTGGGGAATGCCTTTGCTCCTCACATGATCTAGACCCTCAATTTTGCAGGGTTCTAAATTGTCTGGGAAATCTCCCCATTTTAGACTTCACCCTTCAACTCATTGAGGTTTATGGACAGGGCCATAAACACAACTTTACTGGTGACCAGTGAAGAATGGGGCCGGCGCTTAGTGAAGGATCAAGGCAGAGAGATTTAAATATCCAACCAGATCCCACCACCACCTACCCAACTGCACAAGTTTATGGTTGTCTCTTCCACGGTGGCTGTGTGCAAAGCCATTCTCCTTCATGTCTCTACCATGAGGACAGGGGGTGAGGAGCAATATTGAGGTTCTAAAGCATCATGAAAAGTGTACCCTTAGGGATCCATGGGGCCTAAGCCACCAAAGGGAAATCCTGCAGCTAAGTTCTTTGGTATCTACAGTGTGCTTTTGCTCAATTAGAACATGTAAAGCATTTTAGTCCAGTGGCTTTTGCCATGCACACCACATGGAAAACTTACTTTTTTGGTGGGTTCAGAGCTTGGTTGATCAGGTGCCAGCTCCCCAATTAGCAGTGAGCTCAGGTATTTCTTTACTAGGTCCTCATCCTTGTGGAAAGCGGTGAAGGCATCCTAAACACACACACACAGAAACAAACAATAATGTAAAAGGATGTAGGGCTCTTAGTACACCACAAACTTAACATGAGTCAACAAAGTGATGCAGCAAAAAGAAGAAGAAGAAAGAGCTGATGCTATTCTAAGCTGTAGGAACAGAACTATAGGGTCCAAATCAAGGGAAGTAACAGTACTGTTCTGTTTTGCCTTGGTGAGACCCCACCTGGAGTACTGTGTCTAGTTCTGGGCACCAAAATTTGAGGATGATATTGACAAGCTGGAATGTGAGCAGAGGAGGGTAACCAAGATGATCAAGGGTCTTATGAGGCAAGGTTGAAGGAGCTGGGTATGTTTAGCCTGGAAAAGAGCACACTGAGAGGAGATATGATTGCCATCTTCAGATAACTAAAGGGTTGTCCCATGGAGGATGGAGCAAGCTTGTTTTCTCCAGCTCCAGAGGGTAGGACCTGAACCAATGGGTTAAAGTTACAAGGAAAGATATTCTGACCAAACAAGAACTTTTTGATATTCTGACCAAGAACTTTTTGACAGTAAGTGAGCACTAAGCTCATTCTGGGTTGATCATTCCATTTTTATTTTTATTTTTGGGCATTCTAGAAAGGACTATCTAGCAGGATATTCTTCACTGAATCCTATGATGAAATGAGATGCTTTTAATGAAAGGGCTGGTGCTGTGCTATTTATATTGTAATTATTGGTATGGTTTTAATAGATTTTATATATGTATATAGTTTTAATTTTATCAATGTTTATGGTTTTTTAATTATTGTTTTTTCTATGCTTTTAGTGGTTCTTATTTTTTTCTTTAAGTTGCCTTGAGTTCCCTCAAGGAAAGGTGGGGTATAAATACATATACAACAACAGCAGCAACAGCAGCAGCAGCAACAACAACAACAACAACAAATGAACAACTATATTTTATTTCTGATAAGTAAGTTTCACGTTTTGCTGTAAGTACTTGTGAAGCCAGTGATTCACAAATCAAGACTGGTATACAGTTCCTGTTAAATGAGTTAACAGAAACTAGAGGTCCAAGACTGATAGTAATGATCACCCATTATGATGTCATTTGGTCTGATCTTCAGGAAAGCACACTTTCCTTTTTTTAATTTTCCATGGGCCTCCTTGATTTTTGGTTTGGGCAAACTATAGTTTGCCATAGAATCCAAACCATGAACAATGGTTTGCGGTAGTCCTCTGGAGCAACAATTTGCAACCAAAGTTTGCTCATTCAGATGTAACAGGAAACTATGGAAGAGAACTGAAGTATACAAGGAGAGATTTCTGATTTCTGATTTTCGATTTCTGATTTGGGGTGACAAAGTACAGCAGCAGTGATGTAAACATGGGTTCTCCTACCACACATGCTTCCTGCTTCCATTGGCCCATTCTTGTGGAGTACTCTGCCAATAGATACAGCAATGTGTATTCTGTGCCAACTTTTAAAAACTTGCTCAAACCTTTTCTATTCTGCCAGGTCTATGCGGGCAATTCAAAACAAATCCTTTCGCAATGGTTGATGGATGTTTAACTTTTTATGGTTTTTACTGTGTGGTTTCATTTTTTGTTGCTGGAAACTGCTTTGATTTTTTTAAAAAAATCACATAGTGGTATATAAATATGTTTAGAAGTAATATTCAAACAACCCAACACAGCACACATCACCAGTCAGAAAACTTTTCCAGTGTTGTGCTTACATGGCACATCAGATGGTGCCGTGATTACATTATAGCTGCTTGCACTCAAAAGTGATGCCAGGAATACCTTCTCCTATGTTACGTTGTGCCATTAAAACAGTACATTCCAGCCTGACAACTCCTCCAGATGTCACTTCGTGATGATTTGTATTCATGATGATATTGGGGCACTTTTACACAATCCTGCTTTCAGTACTGTTTGTGCCTGCAAATGTTTTGGGGGCAGATATTCTGTTTCATTTCCAATCAACACACACCCTATAACCACCTGCTGTAATCCTGGAACTTTTTATGCTACTGATGTTCTGGGTTTATTCTTTTGTCCCTCTTTTGGTGGTGCACTATAGGGTAAGCACATCCCTCCAGATGGCAGTAATACAGTAACACGGGTGAAGCACTGGAGAACAACTAACCAAGTGGCATGGCGTGTGGACAGTCCAGTGTAAATTCACTACTAATGCACTATTATTGCATCAAGGACATGTTGAAGAATATACCCACAAACAACAACAAAACAGTCTGGAGGGGCCCATAAGTCAATTCATTCCAGCTTAAGACGTATCAGACTAAGAAACTTCTAGCATGACCAGATGTCATAATTGTGTATCAGCCTCTTGTTCATGTTCTCAGAAGCGATAAAGTCTGTCAGCCTGGATATGGCCCAGGACATTTCTCTGCCTGAGGTAGAAAGCCCAATGACATCTCCTCCTTCACCCACCCAGTGCTGATAAACATATTACAGCAATCTTAATATAAATGGTAATTTATAGGCTTTTAAAAGTACCCTCCATCCTACTACCTGAGGCACGCTGCCCCACTTGCCTAATGGTAGGTGGAGCCTTAATTATTTCGCTGGCATCTGAATCCAAGAGCATCTGTGGTTTGTGACACTGAAAGACAATCATGTAAGAACAAAGAGTCCCAGGAATCTTTAAACGGCCCTTGTGGCCTAAGCCAGTCCATTCCAGTAGGAGGTACAAACATGGTGTGAAGGCATATCAGATGAGGAGATTTCATGGGCATGGTGAGCACATGTCGTACTGAGGGATATTCTAACTTGTGGGCATCAGCCACGTGTCCATGTTGTAAGCCCAGAAGCAAGGATGGGGGAGGAAGTCAATATGTAATAATAGTAATTATTTATTTTGTGTACCCCACTCATCTGACTGGGTTAAATTCAGCTCGCATTTAAATTCAAACCTATAAATTCACAGTTTCCAAAATAATACGATAAACAAAATGCAGCCGTCCTTTGAAATTCACACCTATCTGAATATTGCGATGCCATTCTTTAAGCAAACAACATTTACATATATTGGGTTAAGGTGTGCATACAAATAAATATGTTCATGAAAATAGCATGAATAGTAAAATGACGTTTTACTATGTTTTTATATGTGCTGTAAGCGACCCAGAGAGCCTGGAGAAACCCAGTCAGATGGGTGGGGTATAATAATAATAATAATAATAATAATAATAATAATAATAATACACAAATGCATCACAACATGTGCACATTAGTCAATGCCAGGGATTTTTCTCTGCCAGAATTCACTGGAACTCATGGTGAGTTCCAGCACCTTTTTCTAGAAAAATGGCACTGGTCAAAACCACTGAAGAATTTTATGAGGATTTTTAAAAGAATAATTGTAAATAATTTTAAATAGAATAATTGTAAATTCCTGCAGAAATGTGGAGAATCGACTGGAAGATTGGAAGAGCAAGAGAACCGAGAGAACTGATATATTCCTCCTCCCCCCCACCCAGAAGGAATCGAGTGCATGTTTTCTGCCTGAGGTAGAGAAACCGATTGACACCTTCTCCTGCCCACACACCCTAATGTTGGTAGAAATATTACGGCAAACTAAATAATTGACACGTTCCAGCCTTTTAATAGTAGTCCTTAAATCTATAACTTGAGTTGGGCTGCCTGCCTCAATCTTCTTGGCATTGAATAACTCACTGGCACCTGCTGCAACTACTTCTGAGATCTGAAGCAGCGATAGGCATGTGAGAATGCAGCTGAATGCAACTGACTCTTAGCCAATGTTTCATTCCTGTTCGTATTACCCTGTGGGTATTAAACAGGTGACCAGGGACTTAGTAGGGGGAAAGTTGGTTTGGCTGCTCGCTTCAAAGAAGACGCCTTTAGGCAGTATAACTCCACCACAACTTTCTGGGTCCCTGTGAGGGTGGCTGTGCACCTGCATTATTAGTTAAACCCTTTCTGTAAATTGCTTAAACGTCTGGGAAAATCCAGATGTATGGCAACCCATGTCAGAAGTCTAGACTTTTCCCATGAGGTGATGCTCAAATTACATGCTGGGTCAGAGCCCCTTTAGTTGCTGCATTTAAAAGACTATGGGGGGGCATGATTGGACTAAAATGGGGGTGGGGTGGGGGGAGGTCAGAGGCATGTGAATTTCTCAAAGAACCCCACCCTTCAACTGGAACACTGCATTGCAGCGCCTTCTTTTCTCTCTTTGTGCACTGTGGTATTTCTCCATCTCTATTTCTTTGTCATGGGAATTTCCTCACAAGGCAGATGAGAATTATCAGACAAAAATTGCACCAGGTTTTATGCAAATTAAGCTGCAACGCTGTACACCCTTTACCCAGGAGTGAGTCCCTCTGAAATCAGTGAGGCTTACTTCTGAGTAGACATCAGGGAATCAGCAGCTTTTCAGATTTAGGTGGACTTTAACTCTCATCAGTCTCAGCCAGCATGACCAGTCATCAGGGAGAATAGGAGTCACATCCCAGCAACATTTGGAGAGCCACAGGCTCTAGGATTGCACCATGTCAATTAACACCAACTTCAGTTACATGTAATTTGAATAAACCTGTTTTTGTGGGTGCCAGAATGTTCATTTGGTTAGGAACAGAAAATATATATGTAAAAATAAAATACCTTTAGTTTACTTTGACATGCAAGAAGTGTGCTAGAAAGTGTGCCCAAGGCAAAATGAGAAAACTTTAAATCACCAAGGTCAATATCCAGCTCATAACTGTTCAGTCAAGACAATCCTAAACACAACATCCTTTACTTACACTATTCTTAATCTCAGGTGGTGTTTTCTAAATTTTAATTTCAGGTGTACAACAGATTAGTATATTTCACACTTTGCCAATTTAATCTGCAAAGCTAAGACATTCTGTAGTGAAATATAAAATTGTGGCTGTAATTCTAAGTGTACTTACCAGGGTTAAACTCAACGAGAAGAGCGAAAACTACAATCCCAACAAATATCAGCAATGCTACATCAGTTCTCTTAGCTTCCTACCCCAACATTACTCAAATATTTTGGCTGAGGAGACATCCTCAGCCATAGTTTCTCACAGGTATGATAACTCTGCTTTTGAGTCCATATTAATCCTTTACACACCTGGGCTTCTTTAAACCACCTGGAAGTCAGGCAATGATATGTAGAAAGAATTATAACCAATTATCTTGAGAAGGAACTGCAGACTAGCTTTAGTCACCCATGCCAGCCAGAATTTAGCTTCCTCCTCCAGCAAGCTATTATGGGGTGGGCTTTTCTGTGCCTTCAGACCCTACTTCTAACTCTTGTTTCCTACAATAACAGAAAATTGCCAAGGAAACTTCATGAGCATATGAAGAACCTTGGTCCCTCTAGCCCTGAATGCCTACAGTGCTGTGTCCTCCAGGATGTCAGGCACAAGTCTTTTCCAGGTCTGCTACCTGAGATCCTTGGAGATGCTAGGGGTCAAATCTGGGATGTGGTCCAAGTAAGGCAGGGGTGGGTGTGCCTTTTTGACAGGGGGAAAAAAAGATATTTATCTCTCTCCACCCTTCTTGCCAACTTCAGCAGGTGGGTGGGACCACCCATCTATCAATCTTCCGATGACCTGATGACATCAGGTGTCTGAGAGGTGGGTGATCTCAGAGGGCTGCAGGGATGGATCTGCTTTGCCAATGCATTCCCTGCATTGAACTCTCCCCTCTCCAGCTGTTGAGCAGAGGGTGCAACCCTGCTCTCTACAAGGGTCTGCTTTGCCAGTGTGTTTCTTGCAGGGAACATGCTGGCAAAGATGCACCCAGTAGGATCGAGCCCCATCCCCATCAGCTGATGCAAGCCAGTGATGTTAGACTGCCATGACCTCATGGACCAAATGGGATCCCCTAGCAGGTCTATGGGCTGGAGTTTCTCTACTCCTGATTCAAGACATGTGCTCTGCCACTGGGTGATGGTCCTTCTCCACTGCTCTCTGCCCTGCAATAAGGTCTCACCGTGGCATCTTGTCCGGAATAGTGGCTGATGACGCGCCTTCCTCCAGGGTGCCGCCAATAGAACTTGCTGACATCGTAGACTTTCCGGTTGATGACCAGCCACCTCTCTTCCTTGGAGTTCCCTTTGCCCGAGCGGAGTCCTATCTCCTCCCAGGTGAAAAGCTGTGGAGCATCTAAGCAAGGTTCCTTTCCTCCTAGAACAGTGCCTGACTGTGGAGGCATTCTGACTGACAGTGCAGCACCAGCTTCTCCAGCTAGTTACTATACTCTTAATCCGGGTTGGAGCCACATGTTTCATGTTTCAGACAGGTTTATATAGATACACACACCTGTTGCAGCAATCCAACCACCACCCAGGACATTCTGTTACTTCAGGCATTCTCTTTCAAAACAGCTGCCTTTCTCCTGCTCCTCCCCTTGGCTTCCTTTCCCCATAATTCTGCAAGAGTCACCTTTCCGTCATGCCTGTGAATCCTTCACACCTACTAGACCTCAGAACTGGGAGAACGAGCATGTGAGTAATTGTCGCTTTAATAAATACAGCCACATACATAGAAGCCATTTATCTTTGGGTGCTCTGAATTGTGCAAGAGTCATAGCTTCACCCCAACAGAAGTTTGATATTTGCCAGCCACCATCACAGATCACTTCCAGAGTAATATTGCTTCCTTTTCCAAGCAACAGCATTAACAGAAGAGAACATGGAGATACAATCACAACAATTATGCCACAGGGAGGGACGGGCGAGAAATTTAAAGTTTGTGTTTGAAGCCAAATCTTCCCATTGCGAAACATTATGAGAACTGAAACACGATCAGCCTTTGATACCTGCAATTTTTCAAATCATGCAATTCAGTTCTCCAACCATTGTTTACGAAAATAGATATATTAGGGGAAAGTGTGCATGAAAATGAAAATAACACAGAAAATTGTATTATATTGGGGAAACTTGTTTGCAAACAATTGTATGTGTAATGGTTCTAGGGGTTGCTCGTGCGTAAACCGGTGCAAACACCTGGCTGGGTTGCCTGAGTGAACCTTTTCTGTCCGGATAGCCACTCACCCGTGGCTGTCTCAATCGCTGGCAGAATCCGTCAGTGGGCGTTTCTTAAACTTCTTCCAGCAAAGAAGCTCTTTGACGCCTAGTCTCCTCCTACTCTCTCTGCGCGAAAGCCTTCTGCGCAAGGAGGGCGTAGGCAGCGGAGGACCCCTACTCTCCCCGCTGGTCCCCGGCAAGGAGTCATGGGACCGCCTCGCCGCTCCCCCATCTGCCCCCCTTCTCCACTGGTGCTACGCTGATTCTCTTCCCCAGAAGATGGGCTGCCTCTCCCAATCCCGGGATGCTCTCTGGAATCCCTCTGGATTTTGCTCTCTACCTCCGGCACTGATGGCAGTTCCCTGACAGTATGTTAGTTAAAATTGTGTATAAAATTGTATTAAGAGTAATTCACATTAAATTCCACATGAATTTTTATTAGGATTTTTTTTTTAATGCAAGTTGCTGCAGAAATGTGGATAACTGGATTTAATAAGCACCAAATGAGAAACTGAGAGAATAAAAAAACCCCTTATCCCTAGCCACATATTGCTCCAGTGAGTGAAAAGAGCTAAGTATGTGTTCCCTCAGAGAGCACGTAGCTTTTTCACTCACTGGAGTGATATGGGGCCACCTCCCATCTATCTGTTCTAGAAACCACCCACCTCAACATTATCTGAATTGAGCATCAGTTTGTTGGCTCTCATCCAATCCATTACTGAGGCAAGACAATCATCCACTGCCACACCTGTGCTGTGTGTCAATCACATATTGCAGTGAAGACTCCAAGGGGCAGAATAGCATTTCCAAAGCATCACCCTCTGGAAACAACCAACCAAATAGGACTGGGAACACCACAAAGCTGTGCCACTCACCCCTACGTCGGACAGCCGCTCCAGAATGATACCACTGTCCTGAAAGCCACAGAGAACATTGATGAGAATTAACAAGGACACATTTCCCTTCTCTCTCTCTCGGCAAAGGTCATCATACAGGGCACCAAAGCAGTTTCTGTACCAAAACCGGGCCTGAAGCCCAGTAGCGGAGGTCATGCTCTGGCACCAGGGGGCGGAGAGCAGGCGAGGGATTGCCTGGCGCGCATCCCGGGGTCATGGTGCGCCACCTGTGGGGGTGTGGTGCCCAGTGCGGGCGGGGAGGGCAGCTGCGATGGCACTCCATCAAATCAGAAACCGGGACGGCTTCTCTAAATCAGGGATGTCCCTGGAAAATAGGAGGGTCTGAGACACACACACACATTTAGGGACACGTACAAAACTCCTTCATACGCATACATATAGGACATACACATACAGAGACGTCCCCCCCACCCAGCTGATGCATGTAGGTCACTTAAGGAGGAGACAATGTTCTTTCCATGCTGTGGGGATTTTCATTCCCATTACAGCCACAGGCTATGAAGAGAAGATTAAATCTCTTCAGCCAGCCTAGCATAATGAGAATGAGTGAAAGTCAGACAAGTCCTGCCTAGGTCTGCACCCTATTCTCCCTGTAGCATCACTACCACCTCCAAAATATTGAGTTTATGGCTCATGGGCCACCAGCTAAAGCTTGGTGGAGCAGATCAGGCCTTCAGACTGCACTTGTTCCAACTTGTTGGGTTCAGTGGGGCTTGCATCTGAGTAATGATGCTTCCAAAGAACATTAAGGCATTGGTTTTAAATACTACGACATTAACTTGTTATCCTCATGTCATTTTAATTAGCAGGTAGACTTTATGATCCTCAGGTTTTTCTCCAGGTTGCATGTTAAGGGGGCAGTTTTTTCAACTCACAATCCCCTCCATCCACCAAAAGGAAGAGGCCAATTGCTCTGGCAGGCTGCAATTTATCCTGTCCCAGGTCCCAGTGCCCCTATTGGTCACTTGGTCCTGCACCCAGGGGAACACCCAAGACCTCCTGCCACCATAGGTCAAATGCGTGGCAGGTGGATGATCCAGCCTGCCATTCACCGGTTCACTAGAGTGGCTCAGGGCCTGTCCACAAAACTGCCTGCCTGGCAGGGCAAATGGACTTTCTTTAACCCACAATCCACTCCCTTGGTTCTGGACACCACTGTTCTCACTTGAGTACACTTGCTAGGAGAGTTACACTACATTTACTGTACCTCTGAAATGATATAGGAATCTGTGAATTACATTTTAACTAGATCTAAATTGTACATATCTAATCTGAAAGATAATGATTTTTATGGAAAATATGTTTTCATTTATATGATGCAAATGACAGGTCCTATGTATCAGCCATAATCTTATTTAAAAAGCTGTCTCATCTACTTTTGGTGTGTCTCTTTGGGATTTAAAAAAATATCTGGCAGGGTAGATATATGTGGCATTATTTGCTAGATGGCTTTGAGCAACCACAAGGTTCCCTTTAGGCTTGGCATGTAGATCTGGATGACAAACAAACTGGTGAGGCCATGCTTTGCTTGTCAAGCTCATATACTCAATGTAGCAAGGTGAGGCAGTTGCCTCAGGATGGCAGGTTCTGGACAGCTAGGGGGCAGCAGATCTGACCTCCAAGGAGCATGCTGCTCACCTCCTTTCCCCCCTTCTTTTGCTGCATGCCTATGGCCCACCTGCCACCTGTCCACTGATGCCCATTCATCTCTAACCTCCTTCTACCCCCAGAAGGGCAGGCACATTGATGCGGGTGAGCTGTGGGTGAGCGGCCGGTGGGTGTAGAGGTTCTGGGAGTCTCCTGGCCCAGGCTGTTGTACTAAGAAGCGGTGGCAGTGATACTACCTTCTAGGGTTGGTTTTCAATTCTGTTCATTTGGCTACTGCTATCCCAGCAAGAAGGCTAGCTGGTCCCTTGACATAGGGTTGACATACATCCCAGAATTTCCCGGACATAGTCAGAATACTGCAGTTGGAAACAGTGTCTGTGTGGAAATTGCTTAAATGTCCGGGAAAATCCGGCTTTATGACAACCCATGTAGGAAGTCTAGATTTTGGTGAATTTCCTTAAAAAATATATCAACAACTTTGGGCAAACTTTTGTGTCCAGATTTTCACTTTTTGAAATATGGCAACCCTACTTGACAGCTGGCCACAAGCACAGTGATCTGAGGAAGACGTCCGCTGCATTTCCTTCCTGGCTATGGAGGAAATGAGCTTTCAGTACAGATGGCGATCCAGAGAGGAAAAGGAGAAGTTGAGCACTCTCTTGTTTTATCAGCTGATCACTTGCCCCAAGGAAATTCCATGCACTTGACTGAATGGAATTGCAGGTCTCCAATGACAACCAGGTAAGCAATTAAATAGAAGACTCATTGAGTTTACACTTAATAAAATAACAAGAGAATATTGAATATATATATATATATATATATATATATATATATATATATATATATGAATGACTAGGACAGTTGAAGAAAGAAAAACTCAGCAGGAAAACTATTGTTGTTCCTGGAGTCACATGACAGTAGATTACAAATGGGATTCTGATTTGACTTGTTTCATTCCTTTTTTAGCTACTCTCCCATAATTTAAATTGCAAATTTCATTATCCTGGACAATATCTCAGGTTCTGTGATACCACACATTAAGGCAAATTTAATGCTTTTAAAATATGTTCCTTGCCCTTATGATTTTAATAACAACACTGTTGTTAGTGTTTAAGGATACAGGCTCAGACTTAAAAACATCAATCCCAACTAGCATAGATTAAATTGGTCACAAGCTTGTTGCTAAATATTAACTCTGAGATTGGGGCAATAACATGGGAAACAAAAGCTACAAAGATAAGATGTAGGTCCTAATGTTTAGATATACAGGAAGTCTTCTACATACTGGCTTCTGGGCTGTTATCCAATCTTTTCTGAAGCTATAGAGCACAACACATTTACTCATCTGAATTTTATGTTTTCCATTTACCCTTAAGCATTTCAGAGAATGACAGATTATATTAGCTGCATTAACTGAAACCTAGTGTTAAACCTTAGGCACATCTCTCTTGCTATTTGTGATAGACACAGAGACCCTGGCCACAATGCTTAGTGTTAGCCTGTAGATCGCAGGGTTGAAGGTCAATGGGTGTAATGGACTGGTTGGACGCAGAGGAATGGTGGGAGGAACCAGCTCAGGACAACAGTGAGTGGTCAGAGGGAGAAGAGGGAAAACACTGGGGAGAGGAGGTGTCAGAAGCTGAAGAGGTAACAGGGTTTAGTAAGCTGGGAGAGTCCATGGCAGAAAGAAGTCCAGAATCAGAGACAGAAGCTGAAACAGGAGGGTGGGAGGAGAGAGGCTAAGAGGCAGAGATGAGCGCAACTGGTGAAGAGTCATGGTTGTCTCCCTCTCCAGCTGCGACAAGCTCCCCTGTGGCTGAGGAAAGTTGGAGTCCAACATCATCTGGAGGGGTACAGGTTCTCCACTAAGGTACTACCTGTTTCCACAAGGATCTCCCCAAATGCTTCTTCGCATAGCATTCTCTGCATACTCACATGAAAAGAAGTGTAGCAGGGCAGCTGATTACAGGGAAAAGGGTATTTTCTGTGGGCATGCCCTCCTGAGAGATGCTTACCCACACAAATACCCTTTTATTTTCTCAGACCTTTTATTTTATTTTATTGCTCAACCTGAATCAGTTTTATCTCTTTCACATGGGGAAAAACACTTCTAATGGTTTTTAATTTGTTTACCCAATAGCTGTAGTGGGCAAGATGTGAATACCCTAAATATGTAAGGAAGGGGCTTCCTTATCACTGAATTTATCTAGCCAGAGTTCTGATAATGCTGCTTCAGTTCTTCTCCAGTTCTTTGCCTTGCAAAAGTGTTTAGGCTTCTTGTCTCCCCGGGGAACCACTTGCAAGTCAGGGAAGGCAGTAACAAACTATGGTGCCTCCAGAATGTCAGTATTTTGCAAGAGAGATTCAAGTGCATACCAGATATTAAGGTATGCACAATTCAAGTGAATTAAAACACTGCCATTCTTGCACAACAAATCCAACTTTATATTGAAATTTAACTTTTTCTAACCAATCAGTGGGAAGATGTATAAATGCAAATCAGGATGAATAACCTGAATAAACTGCTTGCGAGCAGATCAGAATGAATGCTCAACAAAACTAGATATGTTTCTCAACATTTTTAATCCTATTTGAGCTAACATTAATCCCTGCATTAGATGACACAATCATTTGATTCAGCATGAGGTTGTTGAAACTGTATGTGGGTCCTTATTCTGCCTAACTGCACATGTCAGTGGTTCCAAGCATAAATCAAATATCAGTGGAGAAAGAGAGCACTCCTGTCTTGTACCTCTCTCCAAGCCAAACTGATCTGAAAGAATTCCATTTGCCCCCCCTTGTGATTTCAGAGAGTAGTATAAAATTCTGATCCATTTTATAAATCCAAGCTTTTCCAAAACACGAACTGCCAATATAACTTCCTCAAATGCTTTTTCAGAATATAAATAAATAAGTGCAGCCAGATGCATTTTATGACTATTTCAGGCCACCAAACTGGTTACCTATCTTAGATGACTGGCAGCCGTCCTGCTGCTTGTGTTAGGATATTTCTGTTCCACCTTAAAAGGGAGCAGGCTTTGTGAGTCACAGAGTCTGCGTATTTCCTGTTCACAGGAAGTATATGTTTTGTCTATTGCTTTCGTTTCTCTCTCTGTGCCTGAGACACCGAAGCAGGCAGTCATGTTTTTCTTTGTTCTGACCAACGCGGAATAAACTTGTAAATAATGCTCTCCTGCGTGCATCTTTCGCTGTGTGAATTCTGCTGATAGAGCGTGCATCAGCTCTGGAATGTGGCAAGCTATTTCTGGAGCTCGTGTCGCTAATTGCTGATACTGTATCTACGGGAGATCGATGGATCGCAACAGAGACGACGCAAAGTCATGATGGACTTTGTCTCCCTGGCAGTATCCCAACAGCTTGTGCCTCCTAAGCGCCTTCTCATTGCTGTCTGCCACTCCCTCAATGCTCCACGCGGCGTGCCCTGCCACTCACAGCTCATGTACTGATTCCATCGCCCCACCCTCCCTGCTGCTCTCCACAATTTCCCTCATGGAGATCTCTGTTGTGATGGCTTGCAAGCCTCCCTTTGTCACGACTGTCCCTCAAAGTTTCTACAGCACAAGGTGGGGAGGCAGTCGCAAGGGACATCTCTTTCTACCCTGGGAGTAGACCTGAGACGAGAGTTCTCCACTCAGGTCCAGTCCTGAAGGGCCAGCCATGGGAGCCAGATCACTGGCTCTCATAGGCTCTCAGTGGCAGAGTAAAGGTGAAAAGGTAAAGGACCCCATGATGGTTAAGCCCAGTCAAAGGCGACTATGGGTTGCAGCGCTCATCTCGCTTTCAGGCTGAGGGAGCTGGTATTTGTCCACGGACAGTTTTCCGGGTCATGTGGCCAGCATGACTAAACCGCTTCTGGCGCAATGGAACACCATGACGGAAATCAGAGCACCTAAGGGAAACCTAAGCTTTCCCCCCTAGAAATGCCACGGCTGCTGTTGCTTTAGTCGCTGCATCTGAAAACACGTGTGGTTCTTTGCGGGAAGCGGCGGCAGGAGAGGTGGGCACATAGCTACAGGGAATGCGCACCGTCTGCAGGCTACCAAGGGAAATTCTCCTGTAAATATATATATATATATTTATGATTTTAAATCTTATACATTTCAATAATTTTACAATCAGTTTAACATTTCAAAACTTGACTTCCTTCCCCCCGTCTGCGGTTCCTTAAATTTATTTTTTATATTTTCTGCATATTTCACATTCACGTAACTTAATCATTTATTCACCTACTTTAAACACATACTCTTATAAAACTACAGCTTATTATACATAATCTTGCCAATGTTCTTATCTGTTTATAGTTTGTTTGTAAATATTCAATAAACCATTTCCATTCTTTTATAAAAGGTTCATTATCTTGATTTCTTATCTTTCTGGTAACTTTCGCCATTTCTGCGTATTCCATAAGTTTTTGTACTCATTCTTTTTTCGTCGGGACGTCTTCTTCTTTCCATTTTTGGGCAAATAATATTCTTGCCACTGTAGTTGCATACATGAATAAATTTCTATACAGTTTGGGAAGTTCTACCCCTATAATTCCCAAAAGGAAAGCTTCTGGGTTTTTAACAAATGTTATTTTAAACATTTTTTTCCCAATTCATTATATATCATTCCCCAGTAAACTTTAACTTTACTACAAGACCACCACATTTGATAAAAATAACCTCCTTTTTCTTTACATTTCCAACACTTATTTGATTTTGATTTATACATTTTTGCCAATTAATTTATTTTTACTCTCATCATTCATTAACCAAGAGTTTGGTTTTATCTTTATTAATCTTAAGACCTGCTACCGCCTCAGTTTTTTTAATCTCTTGTAATACTTTTGGGATTGACTCTATTTGCTCTTCTACAGCTATCACGACATTGTCTGCAAATGCTTTTAATTTATATCGTCTCTGTCCCACTCTTATACCCTTAATGTCTTGATTACATCTTATTCTTTGCGCCAATACTTCTAAGACTAATTTAAACAAAAAAGGTGACAATGGGCAGCCTTGTCTTGTTCCTTTAGTTATTTTACAATTCTCAGGCAGGACATTGTTTAATATAGATTCCGGTGTATAAGACGGCTTTTTAACCCTGGAAAAGAGGTTAAAAAGTCGGGGGTCATCTTATACGCCGGGTATGGGCGGCGTGGAGCGGAGCCTGCCCCCCCCCCCACTGCTGCTGCGGCGGCTCCGAAGCAGCAGCAGCAACCAGCAGGCTCAGCTCCTCACCGGGCTGCTTTCTCCCAGCATGGAACTGCCCAGTGTATTAGGCGACTGGGCTTATAAGACAAATCCCCAAATTGCAGCTGCCAATTTGGGGGGTCATCTAATATGCGAGAATCTACGGTACTATAAATTTAGCTGGTGGTTCAGTACATATTGCCCTGACTCCTTACTGGACATTTTTAATTTTTTAAAATATATTTTGACTGCGTCAGATCAACACAGCTACCTACCTGAATCTATTGAATAATAATTATTATTCAACAAAGATATAGGTCAATCATTATTTAGCTGCTCAGAGTCCCTGTCTTGTTTAGGAATGAAAGTTATATAAGCATTCTTCCAAGATTTTGGCCATTCAACTCTATTTAAAGTCATATTCATAATGTCATTTAATGGTTGTATTAGGCAATCTTGCAACTTCTTATAATATATTACTGAAAGTCCATCAGGTCTGGGTGCTTTTGAAAGTTTTGCCTGTGAGATTATTTACTGTAATTTCATTATTGTCACTGGTGCATTCAAAATTCTTCGTTTATCTTTTGGTATTTTAGATATTCCACTATCCTCTAGATATTTTTGCATTTCATCTACGGTATATTGCTGCGTTTACCTCGATTTAATTCTATATAGAAACTCACAAATTGATCTGTTATTTCTTTGGGATTTTCCACAACTTTACCTCCTATATTAATTTTAGTTATACAGGATTTATCTTGTCTTTTTAAAAAATTTGCCACGCTAATAATTTCCCTTGTTTATTAGCCTGCTTGAATTGTTTCTGTTTTAAATATTTAATTTCCCACTCTATTTCTTGATTTATTATCATTGAAAACCGCATTCGCAATATTTTAATATCCTGTTTTACTGTCTCTTTTCGAGGGGAATTTCTCAATTCTTTTCCTTTCATTTCTTGTAAAATTTCTTGCTTTTTCTACTCTCTTCTTTTTTTGGTATGCACTTTGCTGAATAAACATCCCCCCTACCGCATAACTGCCTTACTCACATCCCATACCACTTTCAAATTTGTCTCCTAATTTAAATTAATTCTGAAACAATCCTTTAAGATCCCTCCTTTTCTAATTTTTCTTGATCATTTAATAAATTCTCATTTAATCTCCATCTGCATAAATGAAGTCTCAACGCCCCATAGCATTAGTCAAGCCGTTCCCGAACATGCTGGAGTGCTAGTCCTGGTTCATCCACTAGAACTGCATGGCTACAACTTGCCTGCCTTGAGGAAGCAGGCCCTAGCCGTGCGGTCAGCTCCTCCTCTGTGGGCAATCCCATGTCTTGGATGGCTTGCAGAAAGGTGGCTTTCCACGGTGGATAATCTTCAGGGCACCTGTGAATTTCTGCACCCCTTTGTCCGTTAAGTCTTGTCGGTAATTCCACGATGGAAGGTAGACGAAAGTGGGCATTGTGGGGTATCCAGTTTCAGCTGCCATGCTGTTGTGAGCCGAAGCCATCTGTGGGGGTAACGTGTGGACTAGAGAGGCAGTGAGGTATACAGGTATGTAACCAACCTCTTCAGGTATGATAGTGGTAGAAGCCTTCACGGGATGCTGGTTAGGAATCACTGCTGTTTCAGTCGGAACCATCGCTGGATCTGGATCTGGGAACAGAAAGTGATTTGTAACTGCTGCCTGACACAGGAATTGCATGCAGTGTTGGTTGTGTTGAAGTTACTGCTGGTGTGAACATCGGTGCGCTGGAGGTGAGCGTCTGTGCACTCGTTGTTGTGGATCTTCGTCCTCCAATCCATGCAGTTGGAGGCTATCACCAAGGCCCATCAACTCTTCCTCCAAGACCTTGACTTGAGCAACAGTCCACACAACTTCTGCCTCTTGTTTCAAGGTATGAAGCTTAGCTTCAAGTGAGACAGCACAGGCGCGGTGTGCTAACATTCCCACACATGTTTCGTGTGCTCACTTGTGGCACAGGAGAATGTCGCATAGCTATTGGAAATATATCCAGAAGTTGCCAGAATGCACTGACGGTTGCAAGATGAAAGCATGTGATAAATTCTTGGATTGTAGGGCATGCAAAAGAGCAAAGATAAAAAGGTGCAGTTATCCCAGATCGGAGAGGGTAACCACAAGGCCTTTTGAGCTAGTGCTTACAGACCTTTGTGGACCCATGCCAGTGCCGAGTCTGGGCGGAGCCAGGTATGCGCTCACGCTGACAGATGATTTTTCGAGGAACGTCTGGATCTTCTCGCTGAAACATAAAAGCGAGGCGGCGCAACTGATCAAAGACTGCGTTGCGGCGGTGGAACTACAGTTTTCCACCAAGGTGCAGAGCTTTCAGAGCGACCGAGGCAGAGAGTTCACCGGGTCTGCTCTGCAGAGTTTCTTCCGCCAGAAGGGGATAAGTCACAGGTTGACAGTTGCTTTTTCTCCTCAGGAGAATGGCGTAGCGGAGTGCAGGAACAGAACGCTAGCTGAGGCAGCTGACGCTCTACTGTTTGACTCTGGTTTGCCTCAGAGCTTTTGGGCCGAAGCTTGGAAAGCTGCCAGCTTCACTTTGAACAGGTCCTATAGCTCTGTTGTAGGAGACACACCCTATTTTCTGCTGCACCGGAAGAAGCCCAAGGTGCATTTCTTCCGTGTGTTTGGTTGCGAAGCTTGGGTGCTTGTGCCAAAGGCTCAACGCAAGAAAGGTGACCCAAGGTCCCGGAAAATTATCTTTTGTGGGTACGAGCCTGGGACAAAAAGGTGGAGGTTTGCCTATTCAGAAGGCGATCAGTCCAGGATTCTAGTCAGCAGGAGTGCTGAGTTCTGTGAGCATAGTGGGTGGTCAAGGATCCATGTGAATCCTGACGTTCTCTCAGAGTGTCTGTCTGTTTCTGCTGAGGAGGGAGAGTTAGAAGTTGAACCTGTTGATGAGGACCAGGTCTCTGACCAGGGTCAAGAACAGGGAGGGCCATCTCCACAGGTTGTTAAAAGAGAGCCCAAAAGTGAGCCTTTGTCTCCTGTTAGTAAAGTGCAGAAGGCCAGAAGACGCAGTAAGTCAGAGGGGGAGTCTTCTGATAACAAGGACACACTTGCTGGCCCCAGTGGGTCAGAGGGAGCACCTGAGACAGTGCTCAGACGTTCCACACGCGCTACAAAGGGGGTACCACCTGAGAGGTTTGAGGTCACCAGCGTGTGGGTTGGTTTAGCGCAGTGTGAACCAGAGAGTTTTGAGGGGGTTCAACAGTTGCCTGAAGAAGAAGCCAGGAAGTGGCAAAAGGCAATGAGAAAGGAGTTGAACTCAATGAGGTCCTTAGGTGTGTTCTCCACCACGAAGCTGCCAGAGGGCAAGCAGGCTGTGAGCTGTCGTTGGGTTTACAGGATTAAGCCCACAGCATCTGGAGAACCACCGTACAAGGCGAGGCTTGTAGCCAGAGGGTTCACGCAGAGAAGGGGGCTGCATTACACCGAAGTGTATGCTCCTACTTCCCGGAGTGAGACTCTGCACGTGCTTTTAGCAGTAGCTGCTCGAAGAGGGCACCAAGTGCACCACTTTGATGTGGATGTGGCTTATTTGAACTCGGATCTGAAGGAGGATCTGTACATGTTACCTCCTCCAGGGTTTGAGGGCAATGAGCCAGGTGTTGTGTGGAAGCTGCACAAGTCAATTTATGGTTTGAAACAGTCAGCCAGAAATTGGAACATGTGCCTGAATGAAGCTCTGGAAAGTTTGGGTTTCCAGAAGAGTCTTGCAGACAGTTGCCTGTACCTGAAGGGGTCAGAAGAGACACAGGAGGCAATTCTGGTGTTCATAGATGATATTCTGTACGTGGCAGACAAGTAGACAGGTGCAAGGTTTTGCCAAAGAGCTTGGTAAGAAGTTTAAGCTCAAAAACCTTGGTCTCGTTCAGGTTTATCTAGGTGTTAGGATAGACAGGTCTGAGAATGGGAGTTTCTTGCTCAGTCAGAAAAGGAAGATTGAGCAGATGCTTGAGAAGTTCCAGATGTCTGACTGTGCAGGGGTCAGAACGCCCATGGAGACCAACTTCGTGAAGGACAGTCAGCTTGGGGAGTGTTATGAGTTCCAAAACCCTGAGGTGTTTCAGTCAGCGCTAGGGAGTCTGTTGTATCTCTCAGTGGAGCAGACCAGACATAGCGTTTGCTGTGAATCTGCTCAGCAGGGAGGCTACAAAGCCCAGTGTGAATGCCTGGCAAGGCATCAAGAGAGTGTTGAGGTATTTGCAGGATACCAAAGAGGTTTGCCTCACGTTGTCAGCTGAAGGTGACGCACGGAGTGACAGCGATTAGGCATCTCTTGGGGACAGGAAGTCTGTGTCTGGGCTGGTGGTAAAGTTCGGGGAATCCCTGGTTGGGTGGAAGTCCCGGAAGCAAAGTCTAATTGCACTTTCTTCCACTGAGGCTGAGTTCAGTGCGTTGTCGGATTTGTGCAGGGAATTGGACTTAGGAGAGGTCCAGGCAGGATGTCTCCAAGGTCGCTTCCCATGGCAGTCAGCCAAGTCCTCGTGGCAGCCAGCCAGGTTTCCATGGCAGCCAGTCTAGGAGAGGAGGCCAGCGTGGGAATGCAAAGGGAGGACGTGACAGAGGAAGTGAGAAGGACGGTTCTTCTTATCACCTAGCTGCCTCCATGGCAACACTCTCCTAAATCCAAGGAAGCTGTCACAGTTCTAAACTGGTTCTGTCATCACTAATGGACAGGACCAGGGTGAAGAAATTGAAACTTTCTTGGCTGGAGAACTACATTGCAAAAATCCAAGACATGTGAATTTGAAGGATGGCTGTGTTCTGGTTCTCACTTTGTTTTGGAAAGTGTGAATTGGGTAACTTTGCCCTTGAATGCAAACTGAATCAATTTTCTCCCCCATCCAAACAATTTTTGTGAGTTGCATACTGCTGTCGAGAAAATGGATTTACTAAATCCTCTTAATTTGTAGATGCATAGTGGTCCTCCAGATGTTTCTGGACTACAACATGAGCAATGTTCAGAGGTGAACATCTACGCACTAAACACAGCTTTTGATATCACACTTTAAGGGACTTCCCCTCCTTAAAATGTATAAAGCCACTGATTTAAGTACTGATAACACAATTCTCCAAAACTGGAAAAGGAGCTTCACATTGGTCTTATTTCTTTGCTAATTTAGAACACCAATTTAATTCCCTTTATTTAAATAAATCCATCTGATTTGGATTCAGTGCCTGCAGGCTGAGCTTTATCTTTCAAAGCATAAGTTGCTTAGTATATTGCTTCATATGTTGCATGTGCTTACAAAGGTGGTGATGTTAATCCATTGCTTCTTTTTGAAAACTATAAAAACACCTGCAAAGCATTCTTAAATGCATCCAATCATCTTCTGCCCTCGATAAAATTATTCATAAGAATAAAGTGATGCAAGCCTTCACTTTTGAATAAAGGCAAGATACACCGCCTGCCAAATCAGGCCACCTAATCTGTATTGTTGGGTGTGGGTTAATGCACACAAATTCTTGCAAGAAATCAGGCCGTAGTCATGCCAGAAATGAAGCAGCCCTTTCGTTAGGTTTGTTTCAGCTTTCAGAAAATGAGAAGTTATTTTAGTGATGGTGAGATTTTATTTATTTAAATGAACTGAATAGTTTATTTGCCACTTAATACCAGAGTTTCTAAGTGGTATCCAAGAGGGATGCAAAACGGATACAACATAACATCTCTTAAAAATATTAACATAATCAGATTTAAAATATTTGCTGAAATAGAAAAACCATCACCAGCAAGTGCTGGAAGTTCAACAGGGTGGAGGTTGTCTTATATTTTATTGTTTTTATATGTGATAGAAGCTTTCCAGAGTAGCTGGGGAAACCCAGCCAGATGGGCGGGATATAAATAAAATCATCATCATCATCACAGAGGTGGAGAAAGGTGGGTGCGGTGGGTGCTGTGGGTGCGGTCTGCCCCAGGTGTCATCCATGAGGGGGGTGACATCACCGCCCTGCCCCCTGGGATGTTTGGCATGGGCGACACACCCCTCGGACACCCCCCCGGGACACTCGGCATGGACAGCGCACCCCTGAGACGTGCACCCCTGGGACGTGCACCCCTTGGGATGCTTGCTGCGGGCAGTGCACCATCTGGGAAGCTCACCCCACCCCCTGGGATGCTCACTCCCCTGGATGCTAGCCCTGCCCCCCAGTACACACCGCTCCAGGTGCCGGAGCACCTAGCTCTGCCATTGGATCATCATCATTTCCTCAGCCAGGAGGGAGCTCCAAAGAACTGGGCCACAAATTGAACACACAGCTCCTGGTGGTTGAGAGCCATGTTTCTAAACTATGGGGATCACTAACAGCAACTCCCCCAAAGCGCTCAGTGATTGGGCAGGGATATGAAACATCAAGCAATCCTTAAGGTACCCTGGCCCCAAGTTGTTACGGGCCTTGTAAATTATTACAAGCACCTCAGACTTGTCCTGGTAGCTTTTAAGCACCAGAGTTATGTATTATTATTTTGTTCAGGGGAGTAGTCTGGCCCCACCAACAGTTTAGCTGCAGCATTTTGCTACAGCTGGAGCTTCCTCCCAGTTTGCTAGGCCTTTGCAAACTTTCACAAGTAAGTCTCAAAGTTTTAGTCCTTTCCGTGACTTATCGAAAAA